TGAGACCAGGTTACTCTGTTGCCCAGGCTGGAATACAGCGGCATGATCACAGTACACAGCAGCCTCAACATCCCAGGCTGAAGCAATCCTCCCACCTCAGCCTTCCAAATAGGTGGGACTACCTATGCATGACCTCACGCTAAGCTAATATTTTTTAATTTTTTGTAGAGATGGGATCTCTTCCTGTGTTTCCCAGGCTGATCTCAAACTCAAGCAGTTCTCCCACGTCAGCCTCCCAAAGGGTTGGGATTGCAGTGGCCGGCCTTAGTCTCCTCTTCTTGTAAGAGCACTAGTTGTATTGGATTAGGGCCCATCCACGTGACCACATTTCATCTTAACTACCTCTTTAAATGTCCTGCCTCCAAATACAGCCACACATTGATATACTGGTGGTTAGGACTTCAACATTGGAAATTTGGAGGCATGCAACTCAGCCCATAATACTATATTTTAGGCATCTTTCAAATTTGACTTTCCATCTTCATCCCTAATTGCCACCCTTTTAGTTTAGGACTATGCCATTTCTCACAATTATAATATTCTCACCATCATGACTATTATGCTTTATAAATAATATTGTTCTGATTATAAAATAATTACATGAGCTCTGTAGAAAACACAAAAAACCCACAAAACATAAAATCTCGGTAATCTTAACCAAACATAATTGGAATTGATCATTGGCACATATCCTTATCTTTTTTCAATGTATATATTTTTAAAAAATTGGGACAGGGCACGGAGGCTCATGCCTGTAATCCCAGCACTTTGGGAGGCTGAGACAGGCAGAGCACTTGAAGTTAGGAGTTTGAGACCAGTCTGACCAACATGGTGAAACCCAGTCTCTACTAAAAATGCAAAAGTTAGCTGGGGGTGATGGTGGGCACCTGTAATGCCAGCTACTTGGGAGGCTGAGGCAGGAGAATCGCTTGAACCCAGGAGGTGGAGGTTGCGGTGAGCCGAGATCGCACCACTGCACTCCAGCCTGGGTAACAAGAGCGAAACTCTGCCTCAAAAAAAACCCAAAAAACAAAACATCATTTTGTAATAGCCCTCTCCAAATAACTTTTAACTGAGGAAGGATTCACATTCAGTTATTTTCACTTCATACAAAAATAACACATTTAGGAAGTCTCCTCTTATGTGACCAGACACTGGGCTATCACTTACCCTTTTGAGGTTTATGTTGTCATGTTCATAATTCAGTCGATAGAGAAAAAACCGAGAAGCTGTAGAATAGGCTATCCAACTTCCACATGGGGAGATACAGCTGCAGATAATGTTCTCAGGACCCTGGCAATATCAGGAATCAAGATGAATGTGCAATTAAACTTCACATAACAAGGTGCACTGGGACACAACACCTCAAGCTCTTGCCACTCTGGACATGTCCACAGATAACCTACACATGATCTTGATCCTCATGTGGTCTGTGTTACTATGATTATTTCAGAGGCAGAGCACCTAAAAGGTGTGGCTCTGATTTCCAAATGCAAGAATAAAGGTCTATTCGTATCTTTGCCCTTTGAATACTTCACAGATGGCCTCATACTAAACCCCAACTTTAGAAACCTGAGCAGGGAGGAATTTACTGAAGGAAAGCTTGGGAGGATAGGTGGTTTGGAGTACTTATTTTCTGTTTTGTCTATGACATTCTTCTTTAAAGACTTCTAAGAAATAGTAAATGAAAAACATTTGGAAGCCAGGTACGGTGGGTTGTGCCTGTAATCCCAGCACTCTGGGGAGGCTGAGGTGGAGGATTACTTGAGCCCAGGAGTTCAAGACCTGTCTGAACAAACATGGTGAAACCCTGTCTCTACAAAAACTACAAAAAATTAGCTGGGCATGGTGTTGCACGTCTTTAGTCCCATAAGGTGGGAGGATAGCCTGAGCCCAGGAGGTTGAGGCTGCAGTGTGCCGTGATGGAACCACTGCTATCCAGCCTGGATAACACGATGAGACCCTGTCTCAAAAAAGTAAGCAAACAAAAAAAAAAAATAAACCAAACAACAAACAAAAAAGAATCTGAAGAATAAAGTTGAATGTAACATTCATGTAATTTTTTAAAACTCACAAAACAAAATGATTTTTTTTCCCCATTGTATAACCTTTTGTATTATTTGAATTTTTTAAAAATATGCACATGATTGGGCAAGGTGGCTCACACCTGTAATCCTAGCACTTTGGGAGGCTGAGGTGGGCAGATCACCTGAGGTTGGGAGTTCGAGACCAGCCTGACCAATATGGAGAAACCCTGTCTCTACTGAAAATACAAAAATTAGCCGGGCATGGTGGCGCATGCCTGTAATCCTAGCTATTCGGGAGGCTGGGGCAGGAGAATCACTTGAACCTGGGAGGTGTAGGTTGAAGTGAGCTGAGATCATGCCATTGCACTCCAGCCTGGGCAACAAGAGTGAAACTCCGTCAAAAACAAAAGCAAAAACAAAAACATTATTTTCATAATAATATCAAAAGGAGAGAAACCTATTTCCTGTATACATTCATTTAATACATCCTCAATGTCTAATTATAATCACAGGAAACCCAGTCCTGGTGACACAGTCTTTCATTCAAATAGTTTTAGAATTTATACAATTTATGATATGAACTAACTAACCTCAAAATTCAGAATGGGAGAAACATTCTAGATTTCAGAGCCCAAACAAGCTCCCTTACCTTTGTCTTGAGATACAGTAAATGATCTGCATTTTTAGAGAGTGGAAGAGTATCCCCATTCTTGCCTGAAACAAGAAACTTCCCTGAGATTTTTCTTAGGAAAAAAGAGTATTGTACATTTTTTCTTCTAAAAAGTCACTCCTTGGAAGAATGGAGTCTCTAGCAGTGGAAATTCAGAAAAATGTAAGCTTACTAAGCTCACAATTTATGAGAGTATATGAAGAGGAAAACAATGAGTACTTCCTTTGCTTCTATCCTCTGACACATCACTAACTCCCTGAAGCTCTATTCCATAGCCAGGCATGCAGGTGGAGTATGTGTGGCCTCAATTTTAATCCACTGCAAATGAGACGACTAATATTTCCTTAATAGGTCACAGAAAAAAGCCACTAGGCTGTCACTCTGATAAGATTCGTGTGACCTTCTTTTTCATACAGGATCATTACTACCCATCATTAAATCTTGTTATTTTTCAACAGCCTGTTTTCTTCTCAGTCAAGCGAGGGCAAATAACGATTCTCCGATTCTCACCTTGACTACACCCTGCAGCACACCACCAAGAGCCATAAACTTTTAAGAGATGATCCAATATCCTGCTAGAGATTCTAATACTCTAAAATTAGAGTATTATTTGCTTTATCTAATGGGTGGGAAAACCATTAGTTAAAATGGACACAAAAATCTACTTCAGCTTTTCTATAAGCAGAATCCCAACTGCAATTCTGATTTCTGGCTTCTCTCTACAGTTTTCTTATTGAAAAAAAACTTGCTCCCATTTTACCTGTTGCAACTGTGGATCCCAGTCTCCAAAGTTCCAAGTGATGAGCAAACTGGAAGAGGAGAAGGTGCCTCTTTCTAGAACAGGAAATGAGACGTCGCTATATCCAAGAATCAAAAAGTTAAAAAATAAGTCAGGATCATCTACTGCCTCAGTACCAGATACAGCAGCACCACATGATAAGTCAGGATCATCTACTGCCTCAGTACCAGATACAGCAGCACCACATGTTTTACTGCTGAAATCCACTTCCTTGACAAACATTTCCTAAGTACTCCCATATGCCTGGCACTGTCCCGGGATCTATGAATGCAATGAAGAATTAAAACATAGCTACTGCTCTTAACATGATTCTAAAGGGGTGACACAGAACTACATCAGCCATCATACTTCAGGGTGCCAAGAATTTTTAACATGGCTAAACACAGTATGTACTGAAAAATAAGGAGAGAGAACATCTAACCAAGCCGAGTGGTGGTAAATACAGAAGCCCAGATGAGGTTCACTGGGAAAGACCAGTCAGGAGAAGGAGGCAGGGCAGAATGTTCTGAGGAGATTGATGGCATGTGACATAGCTCAACGGTAAAAAGAGTATTCAAGGGAACAAAAACACTTTGAGAATGGCTAGCCTGGGTAAGGGTGTTACAAGTGTGAGGAGAGGTGAGACAGGAAGCTGAAGGGCCAGGCCCGGAGGGAGACAGGTTCTATAAGCCACACTAAGGAACTTGTCTTCACACTGAAGCCAACAGGGATAACAGGAGGCTTTGAAGCATGGAGTGATGAACAAAGTTGCTTTAAAACAGATCAATGGGCCTGGAGCAATGGCTCATGCCTGTAATCCCAGCACTTGGAAGGCCGAGGTGGGAGGATTGCTTGAGACCAGGAGTTTGAGACGAGTTTGAGACCAGCCTGGACAAGATAGTGAGATATTATCTCTATTAAAAAAAATTTAAAAAAAAAAAAAAAAAAATTAGCTGGGAGGCTGAGGCAGGAGAAATGCTTGAACCTGGGAGGCAGAGCTTGCAGTGAGCTGAGATCACACCACTACACTCCAGCCTGGGCAACAAGAGCGAAAACGCCATCTCAAAACAAAAACAAAAAAACAGCTAGCTGAGTGTGGTGGTGCACACCTGTGGTTCCAGTGACTCAGGAAGCTGAGATGAGAGGACTATTTAAGCTCAGGAAGCAGAGGTTACAGTGAGGCAGGATCATGCCACTGCAATCCAGTCTGGGTGACAGAGCAAGGCCTTGTCTCAAAAACAAAAACAAAAGAAATAAAATAGGATCAGTGAATAGGCTAGAATGACCCAAATGGAAATAAAAGGACATGATTAAGAAGCTACTGTAAGGGCGGGGCGCGGTGGCTCAAGCCTGTAATACCAGCACTTTGGGAGGC